GTGCCCAGGTTCGTAGCGCAGTGCGCCTACCACTGCACGCACTACCGCTTCCCCCCAACACACACACGCCCCGTGTAGCCTTTAGCAGACTGTTGGTGGCAAGTGTTGTTAGCGAGCACCTATTAAGGCCGGCATGGCGCACGAGGTTTGGTAGCGTGGCCAGAACCACGCCGGACCGCGTTTTTGTCCACAGTACGTAACTTTAGAGATGCCTCTTTTAATTGTTATTGTGTTTTTTTCTCTCTCTCTTGGAATTCATTAGTTTTGTTTTACTATAATTACAGCCTTGTGTCAACCGACACGGTGCGGTTATGGGGATTGTTTGGCCATACTTTAGCAAGCTGGTCAGTGCCAGGAGGGGAGAGCAAGATCTGGCCAGATACCATCACTGGCCATTAGCCCGAGGTTGAAATCGAACTCTGGTTGCCTCGTTCACAATGCAGTGCTCTAACCGCAGTCCCACTATGCCCCGAAAGAACCACACGTGCACTGTATCACCAATTATTATTTCTATTGCAGTGTTTGAGTCGGGTCATGTGGGAAAGTGCCAATTTGGAATTCAGCTAATTGTGATCACTAATTGGAAGAGCGCGGTGCAGTGGATTAAATGTTATGCTAATTATATGCAATTGAAATAGAGATACAAAATCAGTAAGTCGCCAAGGAAATCGATCCTCTCCTAATGGTTAGAGAGCGGGACGCAGATTCAGCCATTCATTTTTTCGGGGCCGCGAAAATATATACCACTTGGTGGGAAGTGTGCAGTGTTTGTGCTGTGGATGACTCGCCTCTCACCATAGGAATGTGGAATTTCCACCACTGGTTCAGGAATGATGAGTTGCTCCCCACGCTCATATAGACGAGAAATCACTTTTTTTACATTTGACTTTCAAAAGTATTTAACTCACGTATATGCAGCTTAGGAATAGGGCGGTGGCACAGTGGATACAGTGCCGGATTAAGCTAGTGCGGGGCCTGTAGCATTTCTTATAAAGGGGCACTAATTAAAAAAACACACAAATATTAAAACACAAATGTTTTACTTGCATAGTAAAGTAATTGTATTTTCCTGTTGCTATACAGCCAGATAATACGACAAATCTCTAACCTTGAAAACACCCAGTCGTTCATAAAAGTTGAAGGCAGTATAGTACTATAGTAATAGAGCAGGGTTCAGAATCACTGAACCGGAATTGATAGCTTGAAAGCATTTAGCGCAGGGCCCTTGAAAGTACGGACACCGTAAAATATGTAGCTACTGTTGCTACTAGGATCATCCGGCACTGAGTGGATAGCGCATTGCGACCCGGCCACCCGAGTTCGATTCCCAGCCACGGCTAACATCAGTGGCATGTGCAATGATAACCATTCTAGCCCCCACCCATTTCACCAAGCAGTATAGCAAAGTACGGTACTGTATATCCAAGCAAGATCCCATGATCGACGTGGCGTGGGGAGACCTCCATCCATTCGTGGATCGAGAGTGGCTCGAATATATTTCACTTAAAAACAATTTCACCTCTTTTGCAGTTCAATTTCGCCGATTAAAATAAAACAAAATCCAAATCGTAAAAGGAGTCAGACACGGGGGGGGGGGGGGGCTTCTCACACACCGGGGCGCAGTGGCTGGCGCTTGGGTGGTGCAGACGGAGCTTCTTCCCACGTGCAGAGGAATGCGCATGCGAGCGAGGGGCCCTCGGTTTGCGTTAGAGACCTCGGCTCTGAGACAAGGTGGTGGGGTGGGAGGGGGACCTCAAAGTCTGCCCCCCTCTTGCTGGTCTGCCAGGAATGCGGGCAGGCCGGTGCCGGCCCTGGGACAAAGGAGGGCGGCTGTGAATGGATGGATGTCACAGCGGGGGTGTACGAGTTGGCCTGCCCTCTTAGCACCACTCACCTCGACAGAGACGAGGACTCAGCAATCATTGAAAAAAAAACAATAATCCTCCTACGTATAATGGGGGATTTGATCTATCCACTGCTGGATGAAGGTCTTCTCGCGCCGTCGCCACCTCCCAACCTCTCCTGCTACAACCATCAGGCCATCGAGCTCCTTCACACGAGCTGATTTGTTTTCGATTTGATGTATAGAAAGGTAAAGTTGCGGTCAGAAGCACGGCGCACTACCATGCACGCCCGGCCGCCTTTGTCTCCCCCCCCCCAATCCTGATGCTTACACATCGCACCTGCTACTCATTAAGGTTGAGTCGACCTAGGGGAGGCCCACGAATAGTTATGATATCACTCGCCACTGATTTTTAACCGTGACAGTCCATCAAACCCAGTTGGCGGTGTTGACGGTGCAGTGTGCCAACCACTGCGCCACCGCTCCTCCAGCTGGCATACTGGTAATAAATATTAGTGTGTCGATTACTACATACGACACACTATATCTACGTAGCATCTCAACGGGATCTCAATATTGTACCTGGTTAAATAAAGGTACGGTAATGCTTTGGCGTGTGCGTGTGTCTGCGTGTTCACGGACGTTGGCACACTGGTTAGCGCACTGACTCACCCGAGTGTCTGAGTTCCATTCCTGGACACAGCTAATGTCGGTGGGCAAGTGATATCTCAACGAGCCCCGGGTCTCCCCTAGGTCGATTCGGTATTACATAACGCGTGGTGAAAACATCAACAACGGGGAGACGAAGGTGGTCGGACGCCTCTTTGGCCACGCCACCTTCATCGAGCGCTGTGCCAATCCTCATAAAAAAATGTGCTCACTAATAAGCGCTTTGCCCCAAGATGCTGTAGCCTACACGGGGGATCTTTGTCTTTGTTAGATGCGCTCGAGTCCGATGTTCAACGCTTTGTTGTAATTGACCAAAGCGGTACTCTGTGCTTTGTCGCCACCGCGTGGCTCTAAGTGCGGTCTTCAAGACGTCGTTCACGTCTCAACAAATTTCTCCCCTTCCGAGGGACGGGGACGGTGTGGACACGAAATCAGCCTCACCGCTACTCCGGTTTCTCAGAATGTCGAGTGACTCACGGCCGTGAAATGGATTCGCACCGTGTGTTGGCGTCTAGCCGTGTTGTAAATATCTCACTCCGGTCCCTATGTTCTTTGTAGTGCACTGGCAGCTGCTGCTTACCGATGATGGTTTGGGTCTCTATGCAAGGGTCGGGTCCGGCAAAACGTGTCTCAAAGGCCGTGAGTCTCAAGGATATGCAAGGGCTAATCCTTGAGACTTGACGCGTGTGGGTGGGTGGAAGGGAGCGGAGGGAGAGGAGTGGAGTGGTGCCGGCCCCCCCGTGTGCCGTGCCAACCTTCATAGGTACTACTCGCTAACTGCACTTGCCTCCAAGAGTATGTTGAGGCTATACGGGGGATCTTTGCCTTTGGTGGTAGTGGTCGTACCACGATCCCTCTTCCACACAATGCAGTTACTGGTCACCTGTCTGAGACCACCAATTCGCCGTAGTCCATGGGCCCAGGCCACGTGTCAGTGCCGCCTGAGAGGGCATGTCAACAGTCGTGTCGAGTTCCTTAATGTGGCCAATAAGAGCACATTTTGTGGCGAGATGTTATCTACCTCGCCTGGTATACAGGAGGTCGTGGGTTCGATCCCGACCCTGACGCCTGCTACTGTATATTTGGAGTTTGTCTAGGTCTCCGTGGTCTCGTGGATTTCTCTCCGGATGTAGATTTGAAGTTTTCGTGACTGCAGGGATCGATACTCTTTGGTTCTTTCGGTAAAGTCACGTAGGTAGAAAATACAATTAAATCACGACGTTTCGGGCGCAACCCAAGCGTCCGTCATCAGGTGGGATAACCACAGCAAGAAATAATTGCTGAAGTAATTGTTTCTTGCTGAAGTAATTGTTTCTTGCTGTGGTTGTCCCACCTGATGACGGACGCTTGTGTTGCGCCCGAAACGTCGTGATTTAATTTTATTTTATAACTACGTGACTTTACCGAAAGAACAAAAGAGTATTATTTGGATGCTATACATTTCCACATGATAAGCCACTTCGTAGAGCTGTCATTTGTGATGGCCAGGTCGCTTCTGAAAAAGAGCAATAATAGCTCAGTGAGCATTACCTGATCAAATAAAAATGTCATAGTTTTAGCTTCATTTGAAATCAGTGAGTTATCAAACAATTAAACTCCCAGCCATACAAATAACGCGGTACAACTAAAGTTGTGCAAATTTTGGTGGTACCACGGAGTACACTTGGGAGACCAGGCTTAGTAATCACGGGCAGCAGCTGCCTGGACTCGAACCCAGGTTCCTCTCAGTGGCCTGACCTCTGAGCCACCCGGCCGGCCACCTACTGAGCTGTCTGCTGTCTCTCGTTTTCATTAAACATGGCGTTACTCTGAACATGGTAACGTCGTCATGGCATCATCGCCATCACCATGGGATTTTCATCACCACCGCCATCCCATTCCCTCCCTCCTATCTCACTAAACTATCCTATCCCAACAAACTATCTCATTGTTTGTTGTCCTTCCCCAGCACCTCCTGCGTACGATGCAAAAGAAGTTCAACATACATGCCCTCCCTCCATCTCATCCCCCTTACCTCCTTCTCATTCCCCCCTCTCCATCTTATCCCCTCCATCCCTCCCTCCCTCCATCACATCCCCTAACCACCTTCTCATCCCCCCCCTCTCCATCGTAACCCCCACCCACTCCTATCATCCATCTCATTCCCCTCCCACCATCCCCCAGCCCTCTCCCCCTCTCTCTCCCGTCACGTCCCGTGTCCACCCCCCCCGTCCAATCCCTCAACCTCCCCAGCTCCTTCCCCGTCTCGTCCGCTCGATGCGATGATCCGAGGCGCGCGATGATCCGAGGCGCGCGCGCATCGGATCGCGTCGCCACTGCGCGTCCTGCGGTCTAGCGGACATCGCCACCAGCACCACCAGCACCAGGAGCACCACAGCTGCCACCACAGATGGGAGGACATCTCGAGCGGTGAAGACCACAGACTCGACGAGTGCGATGGCCATGATGCTAATGACAATGGGACCGTGCCGTGGACACGAAGGCGAGTGTGGTCACGCACGCGGTAACGCTCCCTGCAATGTAAAGGAACGCCCCTGCGCGTGCGTGTGTGCGTCTGTCTCGTGGCGGTGTTGTACGGGGTCAGTTGAGTTTAGCGCGATTAAACTTGCGTTGTCGAGAACAAAACAGCGCGATTCGCATGGGGAGGAGGAGGGGCTGTGTGTGTGTGATGAGTGGATCGGTGGTGGTGGTGGTGGGAGCGGTGGCGCGGTGGTTAGCGCAGCGGGCGGTCACGGACGCCTCGAGTTTCTCCGTCCGTGGAAAGCGGCGATCCCTTCCGAGGGACAACTTCGCAGCGACCAGCGTGGTGAAGTATGGCCAAACGACCCCTTTCCGTGACCGACTACTACCACGATAAGGCGCAACGTGGGGGGGGGGGGAGGGAGGGTGTAGGGGGTTTAAATTTGCCAGCGAAGCAGCTGCACCGTTGAATAGCAAAGTAAACGCTGCTCTTGTGTGTAGCGACTAAGAGGACGCCGTGGTTTATAAAGCCGCCTCCAGCTGCCCCAGCACACAGGAAGACGTACAGTACGCACGGGACTACGACTTGTTGAGGTTCGTGTTCGTTTTGACGTTGCGGCGACGTTACGGCGACGTTCGCCCGTGGAGACGTGGCGACACCACGTGGCTGCAACTTGGAATAGCGGACACAATGGTGGGACCTCTGTTGTTGTTGTTTGCCGCTATGGAATGTTGGGAGCTGCGCGCCCCGAGCTGTCGAATGCTCGGGATACGTGTGGCATCGTTCTTGTACTGTTCGCCTTCGGGAGTTGTTTTCTGTGGTCTGACACTGGTAGTGAGGCTAGGCCACGAAGAGCAAGGCTGTGTCTGGTGTGTAGGACAGTCTCAAAGACAATGCCATATGTTATTACACTGTGTGATTAAACAAAAATAATACGGTTTTTTTTATATGTTCCTGGGTACTAAGTGTTATTTTCCAATTGTTTATGCGTCAAAAGTAGGGAAAATTGCTGTTATCCCCCACAAACTTTGCTTTTGTGACCAGGTCAGTGCTATTTAGAAATGTACCTGTTTTCAATGAGAACACGTGGTGTCCATGAGAACACGTGGTGTCCATGTGTGCAATTTGTGTCATTCCTTCACATAAAGTCCTGGTCACTAAAGCAAAGTTTGCGGGGAGTAATAATAATAATAGCCGTTTTCTCTACTGTTTGAGGCATAAGCAATTAGAAAATAACAGTACCCAGGAACAAAAATCAGAGCATGTGATTTACTTGCATGTTCACCACACACAATACTGTGTGGTGAATGCGGTACTTGATTACTTAAAAGTGGTTTCTAGTTGGTGTTTTGGGACATCATGACGCCTATATTCTTGGCTCTTTCGGTAAAGTCACGTAGAAGGGAAACAATAAAATAAAATATAAAGCAATAAAATTCTCACGACGTTTCGACTGCAACACGTGACTTTACCGAAAGAACCAAGAATATGAATCCCTGCAGTCACGAAAGCTTTAAATCAAAATCATGACACCTGTTTTATTATTTCCAGAAAGGGTAAAAACCTATTCTTATTTTTTCATAGGTCGAGTGGGGGGGAGAGGCGTCTTATCAACCGGTGTGTGTGTGTACACGTCTAGGTTGACTCAGCCTCAAACAAGTTACCTGGCGCAGTGTGTACAAAACATCACCGCTTTGGGAGACAAAGACGGCCGGGCGTGGCACTGGCCACTCACAATCCCCCTCGTGTGCTGCTACTCGCTAACAGCGCTTGCCCCAACAGTCTGTTATGGCTACACGGGGGGGGGGGGGGGGCGGGAGATCTTTTTTTATTTGTGTCACTGCATCGATGCATGGCGTGCGTCTTATAATCTGGAAAATTCGCTGATTTGTTTTGTTCGCCTGCGTCACGAGGTCATACGGTGTCGTGGATTCTCTCTTTCGTTAGCACACTCTTGTTTGTTTGTATTTACAGGTCCCTGCAGGGTGGGCTGGTAGGACAAGTCTCTGCGCTGTCTATTGCTGATTTTACACCCAACAGCACGAGATTTCACTTCGTTAAAGTATTGATTAAAGTATTGAAAAGTATTGAAAGCGGACGGACGGACGGACACATTAATCTATTGCAGGCTGGTACACTCAGTTTACAACTTCGTTCCTACCAGTTAAAGCTTTCGTGACTGCAGGGATTCATCTTCTTGGTTCTTTTGGCAAAGTCACGTAGAAGGGAAATAATAAAATTATAAAAATAAAATGTTTTATTATTTTATTATTTCCCTTCTACGTGACTTTACCGAAAGAACCAAGAAGACTCTTGTTTGTATTTCTCGTTTTATCTTATTTTTTTAAAGCATGTCACATTAGCATAACATCTTTGCAGAGTTGGACTTGAGATAAGTACGAGTAACGTAAAAAAAAGATGTGCCGCAAGTTTGGCAAACTAAATAATAACAGCAACAACCATTGAAGGGGCCACAATTTGAATGCAGCTATGGAAATAAAATTCATGTTATTTCTCAGAGCTGGAAAATTTGCCAATTAAGTGCAGAACCAACTTGCCAGCTCAGCACTGTGACCTCTTGAGCCAACTTAAAATTTCGCAGGGAAGCTTCCACTCAGGCAATGTCCGTCGCACATTTTTGTCAAATATTCTTGGCCGAGCAAACACCGCCACGGATATTGAGCCTGTACCGGTCAAGGACACAGATTCAGTCACCCTCACATTCCGTTCCCGACTACCCAGGGCTGAATTTCTCACTGAAACACGCTGGTTGACTAGAGAAAGCGGCACGTATTTTGTATGTATGTATATGTAAGTTGAACTTCTTTCGCACCGTATGTAGCCATCCGTGCTAATCGGAGGCACGTGAGTAGACATACTGGACGTGTTGCGCTTGGCATGGAAATATCCTGGTCACCGACCGTGAAAATATTAAATCAATCCCTGCCGACACCCATTGTTCGGTGTGGTGAGCAGCGTGAGCAGCGAGATGCCAAGGACCGGGTCACAAGGTCACGGTGGCTGCGGTGGTCTCGGGGGCAGCACCGGGGGCAGCAGTGGGAGTGAGCGGACCCCCCGGAGCCGTTGCAGGACGCCCCACCGGGGATCGGATCCCCTCGCCTGGGGACCCTCGGCGTCCCCTGTCGTGGCGCAGGGGTCACTGCAGGGGTCCCCGCGCCACCCGGTGACCCCGCTTCCGCCCCCGGAGCGCGCCCTGTGCCTGCTGATCGCCATCGCTGGGCACGCGTATGCCTTCCACATCGTCCACCTGGTGTCTCGTGGTGATTAACGTCGTCGTCTTCATCGTTGATCATCTTCATGATCCGTCGTTGTGATTGTCGTCATTACAGTAGTCATTCTACATCCACCAAATCATAATTTTCAGCAGCTTTGTCATCGTCGTTAAGTGTATTCAAATCCCAATGGTTGAGTGGTGGTGCAGTGGTTCGCGGACTGTCCTATGAGCTCGGCGACCTGAGTTTGATTCCCAGCCACGGCTGACATCAGTGGCGTGTGTTATCTAAAAACCGGTCCCTGATGGAGTATGACCAAAAAACTACCATGACCGACACAGGCTGGGGTGGCCTTCGGTCGACAGTGTTTTGACACAGGGATGTAAGTTATTTTCCGCATTATTTTGAAACAACGAATACAATAAAAATCCTCAGGAAGACTTGTAATTCCTTTTCAGAGCACGAGGAGGAATTGCACGCCGAGTTTGAGCTGGAGAAGGGATTTTTCGCGTGGGGATTCAAGAAGGCAAGTGCGTGCGTGAGTGTGCGAGTGCAACCCATGGCTATGTACTTGCATGCACGTACGTCCTGCCTTTTAGGCCCGGGTTGACTACAACATTAATACCATTCATCTCGAAAAAAAACCTCACTGTACTATGCTAACCCTGCTGACCACCATTACTCTTGCAATGTTGCCGTTGCTGGCCCAGGACCCCACGGACTTTGAGTGGACGTTCTGGTCTCACTGGGCCTCGTCGAGGCTACTCTGGATGCTGCTGGGCCACGTGCTGCTCTCTCAGCTCTTCTCACACTCAGCCCCGCAGGTTCCATCAACAGCTCTGCCTCGTTGTGCTGCTGCTGCTGCTTCTACAGTAGCTGCTGTTGTTACTACCGTAGCTTCTACTGCAGCTACTTGTGTTTATGCTACCGTAGTTGCTGCTACAGTTGCTGCTTCAGTTGCTTCTGCTGCCGATCCACTCGCCGATGCAGCTGCCGACCATACAGTTGGCACTGCAACTGCTACGGTTACGGTTGTTGCTGCTACTAGACTTTCTGCAACTCACTATAGTTGCTGTTTGGCGACTAAGGGGCCATCCATTTAGTAGGAACGCAAAAATCTGTCACAACTTGACCCCTCCACCCCTCCCTGTACGCACATGTACTTTTTACACCACCCCCCCCCCCCCCCCAATCCTATAGAACGGCCGATCTTTAATCCACGCAGAAACGATCAAGGATTAATAATATTAACGTGTTTAAGCAAACAGATAGTCCACCGGTGGCTGCATTAAAGAATTCAGTTGCGTACCTTGGCCACTTATTTTGCTGAGCTGCGTGATAGCTACAGTCAGGGGGGCACGGTGGCACACAAAGCGTGACACCTCTCCCACAGTCCCACTTCTCCCGGCAGTACTTGTGGTCTGACAGCTGAAGAATCTGAACTGTGGCCCATTTGAAGGCCAATGTAGACAAATTGTTATCGAGGCTTTACCCCCCCCCCCACCCTCCCCCGTTTCCTCTGCGTACATTGTCAGTAGACCCCACATACGCAACCGTACGCGTTTGGGTTACCCCCCCCCCCCACCTCCCCGCTCCATGCGCACGCACTAAATGGATGGCCCCCCGTCAAGCCGCTCGTGTCTCTGCCATGCGAGCGCCCCACAGCTGCGCCCGTGGGGCTGGCTGGTGTACGGGCTGGCGTGCTGCACGGCGCTGCTGGGCGCTCGGGGCGCGGCCGTCGTGCTGGCGCACGCCCTCGCCTCGTACGCGGCGGCGCAGCTTCGCCGGCCGGCGCTCTGCTGGCTCACGAACCTGGGCCTCCTCGCCGGCCTGCAGGCCGCTCACTGGAGTCACACGCAGGTGAGGCGGAGGAGGAGGAGGAGGAGGGGGGGAGGTTTTGTCTTAGAATGATCGCCAAAGCTGGGACGAGTAGTCGATGAGGTTGATTGATTGGCCACAAGTTGTGACCGACCCCTCTTTTTTTTTGTGGTCGATCGCTCAGGGCTGTCTGAAAATGGGGGCCGCCATGTCACGTAACTGCAACCTCTTATCAGTGCCCCTACCTTATTACAGACCAATTCAGACCTTATTGGTCACCCCGTGCCATTATAAATCTCAACGTTCATCCTACAAAGTCCCATCACAAGATAGAAACACAAACAAATAGACAAAAATTACGTTACTAAAATTGTGGGGTTTTTTTGCCCGTATGGAAACGGCTGTACGGCGTACGAACCTGAAAACTCACTTTCCCCGTACAAGATAAACGGGTAAATTGTACGGGTCGACAGCCATGGGTTGACAGGTTTGCCACGACATCCTTCCTCCTGAAGGAAAGAAACTCCCTGGCGAGCCATGCCCATTCCCTCGGCTGAGCAAAGCTGTTTTTAATGTAAGTAATCCATATATCTATCACATATGACGTGGTTAATGGTGGAAACGGTGATGATATCGTTTCTGATACAAGCATTGAAAGATGACGATGTGGTACTTGTTATTGGAGACAAGAATAACGACGTGTTTGCTGGTGCCTGATGGGGACAACGATGACAATTGGAGATTAATTTCAGCTGGGTTCTGTCTGGGTCCGTGACCCGGAAAATATTTCTGTGTGGAGCACACCACATCATTGACATGCTAATTTCTCTGCTCCAGCAGACCCACCTCTCTCTCTGCCCCCCCCTCTCTCTCTATTTAAGGCCACGACACAGAGGCATTGGGTCTCTGTGTGTCTATGTTGTGTGTCTCTCTCTGCTTGTGTGTCTGTCTGTGTGTCTCCGTGTCTGTGCTTTGTCTCACTCTCAAAATTAGTTCTACCTGATGACGACTGCTTGTGTTGCAATCGAAACGTCGTATTCTATTATTTAATTTATTTTCTTTCTAAGCCACGTCCCAATTTGCGATGTTGCACACCACATCCAGTATTCTTACATGTCTGATTTTGGAAATGTGGCACACCATATGAGATTCAGAATCTTTCTTCGGAATCTGTATTTATCCTGGAGAAATCCGATGAGCTATGCAGCTCTTGTTCACAGATGCCCAGTGGTTTTCACACACGTCCAGTAGATGCTTCCGTCACAAACGGAGGCACGCTTAAAATACGACCGCCGACGGAGCCTGCGCCAACGTCTCCCCTCCCCTCCGCCCCCCCCCCCTCCCCTCTCCTCCCACCACCCCCGCACCCCAATCAGGGCTGGTACGAGTCCGAGAACGAGTACTTCCTCCTGCTCTTCACGCTCGCCATGACCAACCTGCGCTGCACCAGCTTCAGCCTTGAGCTGTGCCGCCAGGCGGATCCTCCGTGCCCGTCCGTGCCGCACCACCCCCGTCCGCCAGCGCCTGCACAGCAGACGGACCCCTCGCCCCTTACGCAGGGCGCTCACCCAGCCGCTGGCTCCTCGCTCTTTTGGCCACTGGTCTACACCTTCTACTATCCACCGCTCCACAACGGCCCGATCATGAGCTACTGCGACTTTGTCGCTCGGGTGAGCTTTGTGTGCGCACGCACGCACGCACGCACGCACGCGTCTCTTTGTCATTCATCTCACTTCACGTGGCCTCGCGGCGAGACGTTGACACTTCACGTGGCCGCATAGTGCACCTCGCCTCGCACAAGTGCTGTGGTGATGTCATCGTCACTGAGTGGCGAATGGCGGATGTTGTTGTTGTTGTGTCTCTTTGAATGTGCTAAGCACACACACACAGATACGGCTGGTGAGTTGCCTGGGTCATATAGCCGGCATGCCCAGCATGCCTTAGTCAGTTTTGTTTGGTAATAGAGAGGCATGCTTTGGGCTTAAAAAGGCATGGCTTGGTGCAGAAGGATGTGGAGCTGAGTGGACTGGTCGAAGGCTGGTACCAGTGGCATCAATATTGGCCATTGTGGTGGAGGCTCATGAAGGATTCTGCAGGGCTGCGGTCTAGTGATTCAAGCACTGTAATAAGCACCCGACCACCTGAGTTTGATTCCCGGCCATGGATAGCATCAACATCCAGTGATTTACGAATTTATCCTGGCCCTCCACAGGGTCCGCTCAGCCTTAAATGAGTACCTGTTGCAATGTTCCAACATCAGCACTCGGAAGACAAGGTTGACCTGGTAACGTCCCGGTTACACCAGCTCCCATCATGCTCCACGCTGACCTTAATAGCTGCTCTGGAATAGCATTAGTCCCAAAATGTTGCATTGCCATCGCTGTATCTTTGTAATTTTTGTCTCAGTGTGAGCGGCCGGTGTCTCAGCCGGGCGACGTACGAAGCGGAGACCCTCAGATGCCCCGGCTGCCCCTGCTGCCCCTGCTGCCCCTGCTGCCCCGGCTGCCGTGGCTGGCCGTGCGCGTGGCCGCCTGGTGGGTGCTGGCGGAGCTCATGCTGCACCTCGGCTACTTCTCGGTGCTGCACCAGCACGAGGAGCTGCTCGAGTCCCTGCCCAGCGCCACGCTCGGTACGGACGGCGCCGCGCGGCGGGAGGTGGGAGGCTGTTGTTCAACTTTATTACGACGGCCTTCCATCACGGGATCTCTAACGTCCACTGCGAAACAGACTGCGCGGTTGTGTTTTTGGACGGTCAACGGACGCGCGGTATTTACCAGGGCGGCCGCTGGATTTGAGCCGTGAGCCACTGCGACAAACGGCGAAGGCGCTACCGCCGGGCCTCCTCGCCCTGGGGGTGGAGGCTCGTGCCAGGGCGCACGGCGCTCGCCGCGCCCACTCAGCGCGAGCGAACGGCGGCCGATAACATCGTCGCGTGAGGCTCGTTCAAAAGAGTCGATTCCATTGCCGCCAATGTGCGATGCCTCGGTTGTATTTTGAGGCAAGGATGAGCTTCACGTGAGGTGGCCAGGAGATGGCAGCACCAGCGGTGGTTCACGGCTTTCAATGTTACCGCTTTATGCATGGTGGGTGTTCTTCCCCGTTCTCCGGTGTCCTCCGACATGAAAGCCGAACGCCCGCAAATTAGGATTGACCAAACGTCCCACTGGAGCGGGACCCTCCTGTAGATGTGCGCGTCGCTCTCCCGGCGGCCCGTGTGGTTTGTTGCGTGCATGCAGCCTGCCTGGCCATCGCTCACGTCAGCTTCTTCTACGTGAAGTACCTGGTGCTGTTCGGGGTGCCCAGCCTCGCCATGCACCTGGACGGCGTCCAACCTCCTCCCCTACCGCGCTGCGTGAGCATCACACACGGCTTCTCCGACATGTGGAGGTGGGACCCGAGCCACCGTCGTCAACGCCAAGCCCTCAGCCCTGACCATAACCACACCACCATCAAGCCCCTTTCCCTAACCATGCCCACACCTGCACTGCAACTGCCACAACCGAAGCCCATTTGTTATTCCACTGCTGAGCGAGGGCCTCCCCCCGCACCGTGTGGGTTATGTACTTTGACGCGGGTTGGCGAAGGCAGAGTGCACAGACGTGGAAGCATGACCTGGTGGTTGCGATGCCAGAGCGCTGAGTCGGCACTGCTGAGGTCCTGGATTCGAAACCGGGCTGCCACCCGTGATAAATGAGGGTTCACAAGCATAGTGAGTTAATGGGTCTCAGCCCGGTCACAAATGACCGCACAAAATAAACCACGATATTAAATTAGATTTTTTACTTTAGTTGGCTAAATGCCACCACCGCCTCTGAGAATGTAAAATACCAGTTTGACTGTCGTGCGACAAACAATATCTCATTGCAGAGTTTTGTTGAATATAATTTAAAAAGGCCACGTGAAGACATTTTATGGAGACTTCCTGTGACAAATCTCTTCAACTAACTCACAGCCACAACTTGGTTTCAATATATTTTTGTTAAACCTTATAGAACAGTTTATTTTTACGTTTAATGTTGTGATGGCGCTTTGGGTGGCATATTTGTGCCAGAAATGTGCCACACGTTAACCAAAAATAAATTCGCTTGACTCTTCTGCGGTCCAATCTCCGACACGCACGGGGGATTTGGGGCATGATGCGCTGCAATGTGAGATTTCCAAATGCATTCCTCTTCTCGTCCCATGCCACCGCTAGCGCAGCGGGGATAAACCTGGAGGGGAATTGGCGTATCCGTCGATGCGTTTTCACTTGGCATGCAACGATAGCAGCATTGGAATAAATTGCGGGGGGAGGGGAGAAAGACAAAATAATAATAGTTAATTAAATAACATGCGCACATTCATCAAAACACACCGCACTGCACTCGCAGAAGTTTACACGTGCAATAAAGTTTACTCTGCGCTGCATGATGACGAGCAAGTTGCGTGTAGACACGCGCGTATGTGTGTGAGTGTGTGCCTGTGTGAGTGTGTGCGCGTGTGTGGGGAGTGGTAGTGTAGCGGTTAACGCGCTGCCCTATGAACCCGGCGACCCGGGTTCGATTCTCGCTCACGGCAAAACACCAGTGACGATTATTTGAACCAGTCCTGGGCCTCCCCTAGGTCGACTCAGCCTCAAATGAGTACCTGGTGCTGTATGTAAACATCGCCACTGGGGAGACAAATGCGGTCGGGCGTGGTGCTGGCCACCCACCCCCTCGTGTGCCGTGCCAGCCTTCATAGGTGCTCGCTAACAGCACTTGCCCCAACAGTTTGTTCAGGCTATACAGGGGGGATCTTTGCCTTTGTCTGAACCTCGATGTCCTTTTCTTCCGTTGTTAAATCCCCCCCCAGGAATTTTGACGTCGGACTTCACAGGTGGCTGCTCAGGTAAGGGAGCAAGGACGTCGGAACCCTTCCCCTCGGAAACAATTTGAAGTTGTCATCCCTGACGGTCATCCACATGAATCCTCGCCCGCCCACGGACAGATGACCATGAATCACAAACATTCTGTTTACGTTTGCTTGTATACTCATAAGACGTTAATTTATGCATCGCTTGCACCGATATTATTGTCATCACCATCATCGCTTTTTTTCTTTACGTCATTGATTGCGTCGTTTGGTCAATTTAAATCTGGCTTTGCTTTTCGTGGTAATGAATTTGTTAACTTTCTTCGTGAATGGTTTTGTTTGCCCTAATTACTTTGCCTTTATTTGTCTTCCACTAAAAGTGCGTTCTCAATTGAAGTAACTGTTTCATAACGGAAGCTTGTGTTCCTTGACTAATTGCTGTCCCGGTGCTCCCGACTGTTTAATTGTTTGCGTTTTAAATGTGCTCGATTAATGAATGCTGCTTGCTTAAAGCGGTGCTTTCACTCTTCGGGCTTCTGTAAGTGATCTTTGTCAAGGCGCTTTGTTCCTCTCACACAGCTTAAAGGCCGTGATCTGAACGTGGCTCTTTCACTCCAGCGCTGTCCTACCAGACAGTCTCGCCCCTTCACCTGATGAAGGCCGCTTGTGTTGTGGCCGAAACGTCGTGAGAATATTATTGTGTTATTTTATTTTATAAATTTATTATTTTATTCTCATTCTACGTGACTTTACCGAAAGAACCAAAGAAGATGAATCATTGCAGTCACGAAAGCTTTAATTCGAAAAATAAAAATCCACAGTTTGTGTTGATGTATGCTAAGTGATGATTCATGTTAGCCGTGGCTGTTTTCGTGTCTGTGTGTGTCTTGTGCTAGTGTCTCTGGTGTATGTCTGCGTCTGACAATCGTGTCTTCTTATATTCGTGTGTGCAGAGAGAGAGAGAGAGGCGTGCCAGTATTAATTGTGTCCGTATGTCTCTTTGCCATGTTGGTGTCTTTTAAAAAAAAAATGTTGTGCAGCTTCGTCTGAATCGCTGTCTTTCTCTCTCTCTCTCGTGTCTGAGTTTTTATCTCTTCTTATCTTTGCAACAGTGTCAACGACTACATTACTTTGTTTGGTGTCTGTCTCTATGTTAACGTCCGTCTCTTTTATATATATATCTATCTATGCATTTTTTGTGTTATGCTCTGCGCTTCTGCGTCTTGTGTCTGCGTCTATGCGTCTCTATGTTGTCTTTAAATTTTGATTTAAAGCTTTCGTGACTGCTGGGATTCATATTCTTGGTTCTTTAGGTAAAGTCACGTAGAAGGGAAACAATAAAATAATAAAAATATAAAACTAATATTCTCACGACGTTTCAACTGCAACACAAGCAACCGTCATCAGGTGTGAAAACCACAGCAATACATTTTCTTGCTGTGGTTTCGAAACGTCGTGAGCATTTTATTTTTTTATATATTTTTATTATTTTATTGTTTCCCTTCTCTATGTTGTCTGTTATTGTCTGTGCCTCTGGAGTTTATCTGCGTCCCATCCCCCGTATCTTTCTCATATATGGGGCGGTGACATGGCCCAATGGGGAGCGCTTTTGCTGATTGTTTCAGAGGTTCGCAGTTGCTGCCCTGGTTATTACTGCCGGTGCAATATCCATACAACACCGGCCCGTCTGCGTCAGGGCTTACATTAAAGATCCTCTGGCGTCATTTGAAACGAGGAGGCCGTTGCGTGCAGGTGTCATGGTCCGAATTTTCCACGTTCGAAAAAATTTACTCACGAATTGCTCAATTTGGATTTACACAGAGCAATCATCGCCCCCTTTCTGTGAAGCCACCGCAGACCCGTGCGGAACACAGCAGCACCTTCCCTCCGCGATAGCCTTGAGCCGTAAGATTTGCACGAACACCGAACGTTTAATTATGAATGATCACGTTCCCCCCACCGCTCCTCCCCCACCTCGAGTGCACCGTACCTCTCCACCAGTATTCCACAAGCCTCTCGCATCTCGCGCCCGTTGCCCCGCGTTTCCGTCCGTCAACCGCTTTTCGCTCACAAAGCCTCGACGCCCGGCGCGGGGGCGCCCAGGTACGTGTACGTGCCGCTGGGAGGCTCGCAGGGTGGCGCGCTCCGCCAGGCCGTCTCGTGCGGAGCCGTCTTCCTCTACGTCTTCTTCTGGCATGGCGCCCAGGCCTACCTGCTGTTCTGGGCCACGCTCAACTGGCTCGGCGTCACCGTGGAGACGGGCCTGGGCCGTGCCCTTTCCTCCACTCCCGCCGAGCGACTCTCCCTGGTAGGCTCGCTCTCTCGGCAGCTTGCGGTTGTGTAGGTTGGCAGTGATATTTAACATTTAGCCCGATAAATAAGCCTCCTACCCCTCCACCATCCTGGCAAAAATACCACCGTGCTCCCAGTAAACACGCAATGGCCCAACGCTTCACGTTTACTGGGCTCCCAGCTTCCACTTATAAATACCAGTTTTTGAGCTAAGGGAGTGCCAGTTTAAAAAAAATATTTTTCTATCTCCATCTTTAGGGACCTCCGCCAAAAAAATACCCGGTTATTCCTGGGCCTCGGTAAATCGGCTCGCGCGCGAGAGATGGTGATGGCTTTATGGGGGAGAAAGAGGCCTTCATTCGGACATAGATAGAACGTGGCTGATGGTGACGATGGGCCGTAGCTTGCGCGTGTTTGCGTCCGTGTGCGTGTGTGCGTCACAAGGGTGGCCGCCTCTCCCCGCTGGGCCAGCGTCGGCTCCTCGGCGTCATTGCCGGCGCCTCCACGGCCATGGTCATCCTGTCGAACCTCGTGTTCCTAGGCGGCACGGCCGTCGGAGCCGTTTACTGGGACAGAGTTTTCCTCCAAGGTACTGAAATGGGCTGCGATGTCTCCCTCCCCCCACCCCTTCCCCCACCTACCCTCCTCCCGCCCCCCCCACAGAATATTGCAGATGTGTCAAAAGTCAACCGCTGTGACTGGGTTTGTGGAAAGATTCACACGTCTCGTTTTGTCCCTCTCCATGCCCGTGTGCCTCTCTCCATGCCTCTGTGTTTGTCTCTTCATCAGTATTAGTATCTCCATGTCTGTTTCTCTGTATTCATCTCTCTTTGTGTTTGTAGATCTGTCCGTGTGTTCTGTGTTTATCTCTATCCATGTATCTGGCCTCTCGCCATGTCTGTGTGTTTGTTGCTCGATTTCCATTTTCCTGTTTCTTTGTCTCTCTCTGTGTTTGTGTCTGTCCCTGGGTCTCTATGTTTGCCTTTGTCCATATCTCTTTGTCTTTGTGTTTCTCTCCGTTGGTCTCTGTCGCTGAATCTGTTTTTCTAGGTTTCGTGATTCTGACATGCTTTAATGAGTATGCCTTTTGTGTACTTGATATGGATTTTTGTTTTCTCAGGCTGGCCATGGACAACCCTTGGGGTGCTCTCGTTCCTGTATTGCTGCGCCCAGTTTGGGATGGACTGGGACCAAGCAAAGGTCCCTTAGGGTGGCTCAAGTCTTCGCCCCATAAATGTGCACGACTTTACGCACGTAGTGAGTCTTCGATTCGCATCGATTATTACACTCGCGATACGTGCATCGATTCGTGCAAGTAGCAATTGGTCATTTTCGATTTTAAGTTCGTTTTATGTCACCACTTAACATCCACCCTGCAGCCACAAAAGGGAACCGATTGTTAAAATCGCATCACAATCCATGACTTAGGTCAATTAATGTGATCACGAGGCAGGGGAATCTTTACATGCCTGACCAACGCCCAGAAAACCTCTGCTCAGTTAGGCTAAACTATTTAACTATACTATTTTTTATTTTACCAGATAAGGGCCCACTGAGCTATCTTTTTCAGAAGCGACCTGGCCACAAAAGATAGCTCAACAAAGTGACTTATTGTGTGGACATTTATTGCAGTCAAATACTCTGAACGCACGATTTTAAATGTGGAGGGAAAAACCAGAGGACCTGGACATTAATCCACACGACCAAGGGGAGAATGTGCATACTCCAATTATAGAGCAGGCGTCAGGGTCGGGATAGAATCCACGACCTCCTGTATACCAGTCGAGGTAATTAACATCTCGCCACCATGGCACCCACCAAGAGATCAAGACGGAGCCGCTCCGGTTAGCCGCCTCTCTCAACGGCTTTCCTCACGTCACCAGCGTGCGGGCCTGGTCTCCCCTTTGGCGGTCGCCAATTCCTGTGGCTTGGCTTTCGCCACTGCAGTCCTCTTGGGCTCAGCCATCTGCGCCGAGCCACCTCCAAGCCTCCACCGTCAGCCCCGCGGTTCTCTACCAACGGCATGGAGCCCACCTGGGCCTCCACAGCCAGGGGTCGTCTCGTGCACTTTTGGGCTGCGGACGCTGGAGCTGGGCTCCCGCGGCGAGCCTGGGGCTTCACCTGCCTGCTCCCGGTGGCGCTCCGTGGCCTCCGGTTGCCGGCGCCGCCTCCGCCTGGCCTGCGGTCGCGGCAACTCGCACCTGTGCCCGGTGGTGCTCTCAAGGCTCCTGTGCTACCTGTGCACGACTCCGGCTGGGCCCCCGTGGCCACTGCTGTTTGTGTCCGGCCCAGGATGGAGCTGCCCCTGCTCTGGCAGCCTCCTTAGCCTGGTGCCTGCTATCGCCCTTCGCTGGCCTGCTGAGGCCTGCCTTCCAGCATGCGCCCAGTTTCTTCGGCTCCGTTCCATTTTGGCGCCTCCCTGCATTCAACATTGGGCAGCTGAACTCGCGCTCTATCACCAAGAAAGCTGCCCTCCTTCACAACCCCATCATTGACTTCTGCTTTCGAGCTGCTGATCCTGCGAGACTTGAACCAGGCCCGACTACCGTGATGCCGTGTCGTCCATTGTCGCCCCAAATGTGGCTTCAATTCCATACGTGTACGGCGGTCATCAGAGCATCATGGAGGTGGCCTCGTCGGAGTCCATAGCGCCGGCATTGCAATTAAGCCTTGCTCTCTTCCGTCCCGGCCAACATCCTTCGACCTTCAGTGCGCCTGTCCAAATGCGGGCAAACCCTTTTCTCCGTTCTCGTCTTCTACTGTCCACCCGAGGGCAACATGGACCGCTCTCTCTCAACCTCTTGTTGAAGTGGACCCATTGCCTAGACTCGGTCCTATCCTGCTACAAGCTGGACGTTAACGGCGGCCCAACCGGGACGTCTGGTGCAGACTTCGTAAATCGTCGAAATATCATTCAAATCGTCATCTGCGGCTCGAGGAAAAGAAAGTGTAACTGCTCTATTCAGTTCCCGAAGAAGCTGCCGGCATGTGGGGTGAAACGTCGGACATCGTTCGCGCACACAACACGCGGCACAACCCTCAAGCGTATCGGAAGAAACGTGCCAAGATGCAAAAATGGGCAAAAAGAGGGAAAATATACACTTTTATTAACAATGGATAAACCCGAAAACACAGTTCACATTAAAAGTCTGACGCCGGTTAGGCAGCGGCTGATTTCAGATTCCGTACACCGTACCATACCGTGCCCAGCTTTCATGATAAAACGCCTGGGTTTGATTCACGATTTTGAAGTGTTTTTACAGCCGCAAGTACTGGCCGTACCACGGGGCTGTTCAGAGGTTGTAAAACATTCTGGGAAAATGCTACGATCTGTTTGACAGCAGACGCATAGCAACCAAGCTCATAAACCTCAAGACTTGAGAGTAACTCACGCCGCTTACGTTTTGTTAAAGCACCGTTCGTATTTGAGCATTTCAAAACTTGGGTTCGTTTGTTTATTTTGTATAATTTTTGAAAAGTGTTTTCGTTTCTATGTTTTCGTTCTGCACGAAACACGTTGTGGTGGTGAGGACATTTGTCGCTTACAAAAAAAAACTTGTAAATTTCTAACGATGTTTTAAAAATCTCGACAATGTACAAGATTGTTTTAGAAATGGAAGGCATGGCGCAGAACACCAACACTTTGCGGAAGTCGCAAATTGCTTAGAATCGTTTCACAAGACACATTTCTGTGTGTGTGATAGTACAGTATGAGGCGTGTGTTCAAGCTGTGGGGAGCGGTAGTGTAGTGGTTAGCGCCATGCTGCACTACGAACAAGGCGACCCAGGTTTCATTCCCGCTCACAACCAGCACCAGTGACGATTATCTGAAATGGTCCTGGGTCTCCCCTAGGTCGACTCAGCCTCAAATTACTACCTGGTGCGGTGTGTAGTAAACATCGCCACTGGGGAGACAAAGGCGGTCGGGCGTGGTGTTAGCCACCCACCCCCTCGTGTGCCGTGCCGGCCTTCATAGGTGCTCGCTCATAGCACTTGCCCCAATTGTCTGGTAAGGCTACACAGCGGGGATCTTTGTATTTGTGTTCAAGCTGTGGTTAGCACAATGCGCTACGAACACGGCGACCCGAGTCTCGATTCCTGGCCACATCAGTGGCTAGGCGATTCCTGGCCACAGCTAACATCAGTGGCTAGGCGATTCCTGGCCACAGGTAACATCAGTGGCTAGGCGATTCCTGGCCACAGGTAACATCAGTGGCTAGGCGATTCCTGGCCACAGGTAACATCAGTGGCTAGGCGATTCCTGCACCTCCCTTCGGTTGGCTCGTCCTCATATTAGTGTCTGATACGATGCGTGACCTATCAGTGCTCAAAGGCAGAATGTTGCCAGCCACATCACCCGTCCGCCCACCCTACGCACCGTGACAGCCTTAATAGGTGCTCGCTAACATCACTTGTGCCAATAGTCTGTACGACTATATATTTTGACAAGCAGGTGGTGGGGAGCGGTGGAGTAGTGGTTAATGCACTGCGCGACAAACCGGGCGGACCTGAGTTTTGCTTCCCAGCCACGAATGACATTGGCAGCAAGTGATGTCTCAACTGGTCCTGGTCATCCCGTTTATTGGACCCAGCCTTAAATGAGTACCTGGTGCGATGTGTAAACATCACCACTGGGAAGAAAGAGGCAGCCGGGCATATGGTTTCCTGTCCACACCACCCATCTCTCGCGCTGTGCCGGCTTTAACAGGTGCTCGCTAACAGCATTTGCCCCAAGAGACGATGCAGGCAACATTTGTCTTTCTTGGATATGCCGGTATATACAAGGTGCTTGTGGCCAGGCCCACTGGGTTTATGCTGTTGAAGCTGCTCACAAAAGGTGAATTGGACCTCTGTGTAAAAGAGCTTCATAGCCCATCGAATTCCTCCAGTATAAATAAATATTCCGATTGTGGATGAAATTTAGAAACCCAGCACGTTTCAATTGCGTGCACAATATTCAGAAAAAAAGTGAATGATCTATTTTTTTATTAAGAGCTCATTGAAAAAAAAAAGTGAAAATAAACTTTAAGATAAAATCAAGTAATCTCGTGAATGCTTACTAACGAGCGGGTGTTACCCCACTCCAGAACGCTCACTTTGATTTCCTGATGCACGGTAACAACAGCAACAAGAATATACACAAATTTGTTATTTACACAGGTTTATGAAAAGCTTATAAATACTGCAGGTTTTTTTTTTGGTAATGTACACTTTGCACAGGCCTCGCCGCTTTATGAGTCACATTCGTAACATTTCCGCGTTGCATTGACTTGTCATTCGATGTTAAGAGTCAATCCCGTCATTTGCCGACCCGAAGGATTTCGTCAATGTTTGCCAGGTTTTAAATTCCTGGGAATTTTGTTGAATTTTTGTTTTCACAACATTCGCTCAAGAGGATGGCGGTAACAAATCCCTTTTTAGTGGAGGCTCAGGCGAACAGGAAGTGGGGTGAAGCAATGTCCACGTGCATCGGGGCGGCAGAGAGGACGAGAGGGGGGGACGCGAGAGAGACACAATGCTTCGCGAGACACTGGAAGACCCGCCAGACACTAAGGAGACACGGATAGTGCCGGGCATGGAGACATGGGGACACAGTACACGGACAGGGCTATGGAGACACATTTGTCTGCTCCACCAATGACAGTGCGGCTGCTCACTGATTATTTCCTCGATGTTAGTCCAAGGGGTAGCGCCCCGACTAAAAACAATTGCATGGGAACACTTGCCCAGGATTAAGTATGTATAAAACTCCCACCCTCACTGTTAAAGCCACTACTCGCTTTTTCAATAAGTTATCGTTTCAACCAGATGAATGACATAGTATATAAAATAAGTTGGAGGTGGCGTATTAACGCAGTGATTGCCGCACCGAGCCATGAACCCACCGTCGTGAGTTCGATTCCCAGTCACGGCTAACATCAGTGGCGAGTGACATCCGAACCGGACCAATGGCCAGAGCAGAGTACTGGTCAGAGAACTTCCATGACCGACGCGGCACGGTAAGGTTCCCATCCAGCAGTGGAGTTAAAAAAAGGGGCTGTAAATTATTACATGAAAAATGTGGTGTGTTAAAGGACGATTACATTTCTTGATTGTTGCACGTGAATATTTGTGTGTGTGTGGATGTCCCCAGTTGCTGTATTTGTAATGTAGTAATCAGGCACTGCATTTAGTAGTGAAGAGCACTGCTATTGAGAACTGCGAGGCGGCAGGCAATTGGTGAGCACTGCAGTGAGCACTGCCCAGAGTTGGTCAAAACTCCCGGGCAACTTTTTTTTAAATATTAAAAATGGCGCTGCTGTCACAGCCGTTTGAAACGTTCGGGGGTATATTTTAAAAACGTCCTAAACATTCCAATAAGTTAAATTACATAGGCAATAAACTATACACAACAAGACCTTTTATTAAACGAGCGCTCGATGTGGGTGCTATTCTTGATCTTTTTAGTAACTAAATTCTGAGGTTGTGTACAAACGTCCGGGGTCGTTAACCGCAAGTCCACGGTGGGGTGAGGGCGGTGGGTGTAATGTTGAAGGCAGGCAGGTGGAAGGACGCCCTTGCGAAGATCCCGTCGATGACCCCGGTGACCCCCAAACGGCGGCGGATGGAGACGCCGCCGTCGGAAAATTCCGGAATGTTTAAGGCAGGCACGTGGAAAGACGCCCTTACGAGGATCCTGTCGATGACCCCAGTGACCCCCACACGGCGGCGGATAGAGACGCCGCCGTCGGAAAATTCCGGAATGTTTAAGGCAGGCACGTGGAAGGACGCCCTTGCGATGACCCCCCCCCCACCCCACCGTGACCCCCACACGGTGGCGGATGGAGTCGCCGCCGTCGGAAAATTCCGGGAATACAAAGTGGAGGAGCCGGCGGTGGAATCCTTAGAGTGTCATGGCTTCACCTTTTTGGTGGCTCTTAAAACGGGAAGACAAGAGACAGACCGTTAAGAAAAAATTTTTTGCGAGTGTGGCAAGCTGGACAGATACTATTTTTGTTACCAGGTAAGGCCCATTGAGCTAAATAGCTCTTTTTCAAAAGCGTCCTGGTTATCACATGATAGCTTAACGAAGTTACTTATCACGTGGAAATTAACAGATGTCAAATACTCTAAACGTGTGATGCTGATTCTAAATGTGGGGGGAAAAACCGGAGGTCCCGGAGAAAAATCCACACAAAACATGCAAACGTAAAATACAAATATACAGGCGTCAGGGTCGGGATCAAACCCATGACTTCCTGTATACCAGGTGAGATTGGTAACATCTCGCCACCGTGGCACCCGACCGTCTAGGCCGCTGAACTAGCACGCGCCTTTACATGTATACATCATGTGGTATATTTATTTGCAGATCAGCACGTACATGGCAAACAAGTTGTTTGATGATGCCATGTTGGCACTGGTGCACAAGCAGAACAACAAAACTCGACATATCCGTCATTTAGCACAGTTGGCTACGTACGGTGCGAAATAATTTCAACATAGAAACTATAACGCCGCGTGGACTTAAAAGAAAAAAAACTAAAATGGGTGACGTGTCGGGCAATGGCCCTTCCTAACAGCACGCAAAATGTGTTGAGTTTTTTATTTTAACATTGATGGCAGATCACCCTATATATTGTCGATCGTCAATGACAAGTAGTTGTTTTAAAAGTGGAAACGATTTAAGCACAAATGTGATTTCAAAATCATCGCGACACAGTGAACGTTTCACGCCATTCACCGCTTTCATAGTCAACGTATTATTCACGATTGTTACTTACAGTAACTTTCTTAATAGTAACAGAGTCAATTTCAAACTACTTAAAGAAGTCTGGCTCGACTGCGTTACGTGTTTTGAAACTCACGTGCTGCTCTTCTCCGTCACTTTCCTCTGATTGGCGTCCCTGACGACTGCCCTCTTCTCCGATTGGCTCGGCGTTGTTCCCACGGTAACCGGCTTGGCCTGGCTGCGATTGGCCGCCGGGTTGCTATTGGATCGCGGCCGCCCAGGGTTCTCTGTTGGGGGGGGGGGATAGATAAAGGGGATAGAGGGGATTAGAGGGGCGATTCAGTCGTCATTATTTTGCAACGACACGCTGTCCAAGCGATGAGCGACAAATCCGGCGGCTTTCTATAGACGAGGACATGATGCATATTTCGGGGGATACCAGGCGTGTATTCGGGTTCCTCTGTCTTCCTCGCCTGGTATGCAGGAGGTCGGGTGCTCGATCCCGACCATGATGCCTGCTGCTGGATATTCGGAGTTTGCGGCGTCTCTCTCCCCGTGGTAGCAAGGATTTTTCTCTCCGGGCCCTCCGGGGTTTTTCCCTCCACATTTTGAAATATGCGTTTAGGCTATTTAGATTATTTTGCTGCTATAAATCCCCAAATGATTGGCCACTTTGTTGAGCCTTCATTTGTGGCCAGGTCGCTTCTGAAGAATAAGTTAATACCTCAGTGGGTTTTGCCGAAGGAGGATGGGGATGGTTTAGTTTTATTCGCATGTGTTTCGGTGATTTCTTTTTTTACCTTGTACTTTGCACTCCTATTATATTTTTGTAATGTTTGTTGTTTTAACATTCTCACCCGCCCCTACTGGACATCTGTGGAAAAGAGCTTTATAGCTCATCGGATTCTTCCAGTATAAATAAAATATCCTGATTCTGTAACAGTTGACTTGCGTTCAACTGCGAACTGTCTCGTGACATTTATGATGACTTTTGAAGGTTCATCGAGGAGCCATGTGCAGCGACTACTTGAGATTCTTTCACTGAGTTTATGAAGTTGGCAGTATGGCACCATCGTGCATGTGAACGTTGCACCTGTTAACGGAGGGAAGAGGCTGGGCACCTGACTCCGCCCGCCGATCACCGGCGAATGGGCACTCCCGATGGAGCCAACGGAGCTCTTCCTACAGACCAAGCGGGAGGGAGGTGACAAGGTCGGGCATCGTCACACGCGCAATCGGGGGACCCACGGTTTTGTATCGGTCAAGAAACGGCGCGCGCTCGCTCCCTGATCCACGTGCTTCTCACCCTGCGAAAGCCTCCTCATGTCTTGCGATGCAATGACCCATCTAGTTCCTGCACACGAGCCGATTTAATTGCTCCATCTCCGCGCTCTTGAGCCTGTTTCCCTCCTTTGGCTTGCACTGGCATTAGTCTCAACCAGCCGCCATCATCCCCGATAGTCGTGATGTGTCGTGCCCAAGCCTGTTATCTCAACGGTCAATATAATTACTCGCCTGACCTGTTGTTATTGCCATTAGACATCCAAAAAAAAAATCTGCGACGCACATCTGATTATCTGCTAATAGTTCCAAAATCTTCCAGCTTGAATCGAATGAATATATCTCGCTAATGAGTTGTATTATATTGGCCCATTACCTGGGGTCGGCAAACCAAAGTAACAAGGAGAGCCATTTATTTCGAATTTGGGAAGAAAAAAAACCTACATTTCACGAGCCGCCGCAATGCACTGCGCGGTGAATACGAGACGGTGCTGGTCCTTAATAAATATATAACGTCATGAAGCAATCCTTGAAGAGCCACCGCACGTGGCTCCGAAGCTGCGGGTTGCCCGATACGATCAATCTCGGTGGAGCCGTTCCCTCCATGTCGCCGTGAGCCCATCGCCCCGTGTGGAACGCCACGATGCCTCGTGCAATCGAGACAAAACGACTGCCGATTCGTTAATCAGATTTTTGCCCGTTAATAATTGTGACACACGTGATTGGTTGGGTAGTTGGGTCGGGCGGGGTTCAGGAGGTCGACCCGTAACCGCTCCCCAGCGCCACACCCTCTCGGCGCTCCCACCCCCACCCCACCTGCTGCCCTTGACCGGCGGGGCCGGTGTTGGTGCCACCGGTTGCGCCGGGGGCTGCATGCTGAGCGAGTTGCTGCGGGACAGCTTCCCGATCTTCCTCGCCTCCTGCGCCGCTCCTGGAGGAGGGGATAAAAAATAAAACGACGAGAAGTCGTGGCGCTGAGCTGCCACCGCTGAGATTCCCCCGCCCCCTGCCCCCGGTTTGAATCTGGGTTTCGACCACCAAGTGACTTACACCGGGTTCTCAGGCGTAGCGAGTTGATAGATCTCGGCCCGATCACCAATGATTGGGCTAAAACACCATAGTTCAGAACGTGGGGTGAGGAACTCTTTTGCTCACCGAGGGCTAAAGAGAAGTTTTATAAAAACCTGCGGCAGGGGCGGCACTCATGAACACAGGCCCCAGTCACCTCCTGTCACCTTCAACGACACGCCCACGTGGGCTTCTCAGATCGAGACGCTCGCAGCGATGGATACATTCCGAGTGCGGACCGGTAGGCCTCGTGTGGTCCGTCCGCAATGCTTTAGGTGTCTCACCACTCGTTTAGATGCCCTCTGAATGAATCCACGCCCGTGTTGGGATTGTGATGCGAAAGTTCACGAAGCCTCGGCAAGGCCGTGGACGGCCGTGACCTCGCGCCGCTGAGATCTCACCTTTCTTCTTGTCTCCCTTGGGCTTCTGCTGGCTGCATTTGCTATCCGCGTGCTGTTTCTCCCTCTCACGCTGCTCCTGAAGCAAACAACAACAAGTGAGACGTCGACAGTAAATGAAAATTTATTAATTTGGTTAAAAGTGCGTTGTCTTCTTCATCCCCCCCCCCGCCACCCCCATTCTGTTCTTGAATGTGCTCTCGGCATCATATCATGTGATGAGGAATCCGTTAGGAACTTCCAAAGAGCAGCGTAACACCCCGTGTTAGAGAACAGCCCGCGGAAGTGTTTATAATCGAACTACTTCTGAGCGCCCGTTAAGAGATCTTTATCCACTTTTCGGACAGCACCTTCTCTTCCGCCTTGCTACAGATTAATGTCCATCGCATGCCAGTCAAGCCGATATATTTTGTTTTTTAAATGAGAGTTGGACTATAGGCAAATTAAGTGCACTAAATTACATTAGGTTTGATTTTCACTTAAGTTTTTGCCAAAGTTTAATTTGTTGGCATTTTTTTACATTTGTTTGACTTTCACAAACATTGCTCTCGGTGGCAGAGCGGGTGGGGAAGTGCTGCCCCCTACAGCAGGGAACACAAGGCACTGAGAAGGGACCTCAGAGGTAGCTCTATGATATCCGCTTTCGTGGGCCGATCACTAACACGAAGGGTTGCGCAATCGTGTTAACACTGGGGGGATGGGGGGATAAATATACAGTTAAAAAAGGATCACAACTGGGAAACAGACAACTTCTTACAGCGTGACAGAAGCCCTTACCTCCATCAACAGGTTCTCATCCTGCTCCCTCTGCTCATCGATGAGGTCCTCCTCGCACGGCTTCCGGTGCAACTTGCAACGGAAACGCAAGAAAGCAGAAGCACAAAAAACATTCCTCACACAGGGACACAAACGACACCCAACCGACAGGCAGCTCTTCTCCAGTAGCTACACCCCGAGGCTGTGCATCCCGGGCTGCACTGCGCCGGTTTGAATTTTTGTTAGCGAGAAAATTATATCGATGGTAATGTGAAGTCGCGACGAGCAGGGTGGCCCGAGGGGATATTGCCGGATTTATTGCTGCTCGACAGGGTGTTGAGGAGGTGCACCACCTCGGCTGCCCTGTCGTGTTGCTCTCTTCCCTCTCCCAATTCATCCTTATTGCCATTAACTATTTACAGCAAGAGATGCTTTAATTTTGCATGTGTGTAAATTGTCAAATGAAAAATGTGGCCTTCGCTAGAGGCCCAACAGCAATTTAGCTGCCCGACTTTTGCCATCTTGTTCTCAAGAGATTCTGACCGCACTCTGTATGATACGTAACGGTGTCCGTCCGTGTCTCACCGAGTCGACTGCCACTTCTATGCGGTCGAGGGCCAACACCGCCTGGTGACACGGAACCAAAGACAAACACATCGATGCCGTTTCAAATACAGGTCCATCACGTGTCATCCGTCTCAATGAAACACTCTCACCACATCTCTCTCAGTGCCTCCGTCGCACCACGCCTTGTCCACCAAGTCTCCTACTACTCCTACTATTTTTCTCCAGGTAAGGCCCACTGAGCTATATAGCTCTTTTTCAGAAGCTGCATGGCTATCACAAATGATAGCTCAACGAAGTGGCTTATCATCGTGTGGAAATTGATATCGGCCAAATACTCTGACTGCACGTTGATTCTAAATGTGGAGGGAAAAACCGGAGGACCCGAAGAAAAATGTACGCGACCACAGGGAGAACATGCAAACTCCAAATATACAGGCGACACGCTCAGTATCGAACCCACGACATCCTGTATACCAGGCGAGGGAGTTAACATCTCGCCACCGTGGCCCGTTCATTCGGCTGGCGGAGAGTCCTGGCAACTCGTGGTGTAGCCAGAAAGTGCCCTCCGCTGGATCACTGCATGGTTTACGATTGTGGCTCATGTCTTACATTTGTCTGCAGGTCGTTTGAGAATGCGAGGCCATCACCTTGTGACACGACCTCACGTTGGCCTCACCTTGCGCACGGCGGCCAGGGCGTCGGCGTCGCGCTCCTGCGAGAGCGAGCGCCGGATCGCCGCCTCCAGTTGCTGCTGCAGATCGTGGTCCCCGGGCAGGCGGAGCAGGGCCTTGAGGCGCGGCAGCAGCGAGCACAGCCGCATCCTGGGGTTGGGCACAACGGTTGGGGGTCTTGCATTTTTTGTTGTTGTTGCAAGGAATAAATATGAAAAAAGCGCCGTTAGCGAGAATAGCACCTTTGAAGTGCCGGCCACGGCACACGAGGAGGTGGGTGGCCGGCACCACGCCCAGTAACGTCTACACGCCGCATCGGGTACTCATTTGAGGCTGAGTCGACCTAGGTGAGGCCCAGGTGCGGTTAAGATAATTGGCCTTGAGCGGGAATTGAACGCAAGGAATAAATACGACGATGAAAAACGTTTGTATAACGAGCACCTCGATGCACGCAAAGTGGCAGCCCTATGAAGCCCGATGGTTTGGGAGTCACACCGATCCTGCGTAAAGAGCTCTGCCTCAAAATCCGTTGCACGTGCGCGGTAAACATGTAAACCAGGGGTATGCAGCCTCTGTGGTTTTTACCGGACTGCGAGGGCCAGGGGCGGTGTTCAACAGCGCGGACCCTCCAGCCCGCCCGCCCGCCTGACCCACCTGACGTTGGCCACGGGGTCACAGGCGAGCGCCATGGCGTGCGTGAAGAAGGCGCGCTTCAAGAAGGCGCGGGAGAAGTGCTCCATCAGGTACCCGCACGCGTCCAGGAACAGAACACGGTGGCGGAAACTACGCGCCCGGCACAGCTCTGCACGCGCGGATGCACACACGCGGAATCACACACACACGCGCCAGTATTCATTCAGTCGGCACTTTTCATCTTGTGGTTGTAGTCTTGAGGTCCGTGTTCTTGGCCTCCAAGCTCTGGCTTGGCCTCCAACGTGGCTCGGCTCAGGCTTCCAAAGATCGTCGAGCGGCTCAGCCGTGTCCTTGCAGCTCAGGCTCGGCTCTTGGAAATCTTGAGCTTTGGCCGGGCACCATGCTCAGAGCTGGCTCAAGTTGAGCACATGGCTTTGAGCCAAGGCTCACTTGAAACTGAGCCAAGCCTGAGCAGTGACGAAGAATGGAGAGAGGCCTCAGAGTGGTCGGCGACAACCTATTTGAATGAAGTCCGTTGATATCATATCGTGGTTCTCTTTATTTTATTCTCGTGTCCTGTATGTTTGTACAGTATGTTGAACTTATTTCGCACCGTACGTAGCCTCCCGTGCTGATCGGAGGTGCCACCAGCGTCTCGTCGACTGAGGAGGTCAAACATTTAATCCACTCGATCAGCCCTTACCCCAAAATATAATTAGGTCGGCCAATCAGCGAACTCTTTAGATTATTATATAGAACCAATTAGCATATGTTTGATGTTCCTTCATGCACCGCAGTCATCTCAGAAGTGGTCGTTGGCTTCACACTGACCGCTGCGGTCGTCACTAGCCATTGACATAGGCCCTGTCTCCAGGGCTGTCCGGCATGAGTTTAAAGCTTCCGCGCGACGCCTGCAACACTCGATGGCCACGCCGCCGCCCCCCCCCCCGCTGGCACCGACGGAGCGGGAGAGAGAGGAACGAGAGAGCAGTGAGAGAGAGAGGTGGCGGCGCCACGCTGCACTCACGCGCCACGAGCTTGTCGCACATCTCCTGCCGCTGCTCGTGCCGGCGGTTGTGTCGGATGAGCGTGCACAGCGTCCGCACCGCCGCCTGCTGCACGGGAAGCACTCGCTGCGGGGGGGGCACGGGGTGGGGGTGTGTGACACCGCGCGGGTTAGGCCCTCGTCTACATCACTGCCTTGGTGGGTTCACGTCCACGTTTGGGTGCAGACGCGATCGATAAAAGCGCAGCTCTTCATCGTCGACACCACCGCCAGCCACGCTCTATCCACTGCACTTCTTTTGGAAATGTGGCCCAAGATGTGTTGGTTACCTAAACCCCCCCAATGAGAGCCCAGTCCTGTAAACATGCCATCATCACGTGCACCCACCATGGATGCCGAATGGATTTTGCTGATAAGGACAAAACATGCTGCTTCTCACGGCTACTATTTTAGCATTTTTCAATGCCATCACCTTCATCAGCCACGATCATAGCGCTGCTGGACGAAAGCCTGCACAAGTCATCACCATCTCCCGCGACACTGCGATGCGTGAATCCATCTGGCTCCACGAGCTCATCTCATCGCTCCATCTCCACGGTGGACGTACACTCGGTTGCTTTGGCTGCGACTTCATCATTGGCCTTGACTGCTACCCATCATGCTTACAAAAAAGATTACAAACTCGTTTTTTTTTATTTTAGCCCCCAAATATGTCAGGTCGATGATTGGTTTCATTCATGAATGCATTCCATGATGTTCAAATTAATCCGAAAAAGAAACTAACCCTAGATACGAAACTTTTTTTTTATTTCGCATTGCTTCTAAAACATGACGTCACTCAAAGTGACGTCACTATATCGCGACATCGCCCACCAAAAGTGATGTCACGTGGCATCGGTTAACACCATTCTGATAGCACAAAGAGCGTGTTCTTTCGGCACGTGTATATTGTGGGAAAATCGAAAACCCCCCAAAAACTAAACAAAACCATCCTCATCAAACCCCAAAAATCCTAAATCAGAATTTTTCAAAACTACTAATTTCATCTCATCGTTGAGTCTCCGCGGGCGGTCGTACACCCGGGCCGCGCACCCCGCTCTCCGGGTGGAGTGGGCGCGCGGCGCGGGACGCACGTACACGTACGTGCGTGTCGATGATGCGGAAAGCCACGGGGACGAACTTGTAGTACAGCTGGTCGCTGGACAGCACGGCGGGGAGACCCGCGAGGCTCGCCACGAGCCGCTCGTGCAGGCGCCACTTGAGCGAAGCGCCGGCGCGTGCCTCCGCCGCCAGCAGCGCCGCGATGAGCTCCGACGCCGGCGGAGCCTGCCCGGGACCCGGCGGCCATTAAACCGCCGCAGCGTCGGTTAATCCGGTGAAGCGTCGGCACGAGGGAGCACATGTTTTTATAACTCGGATGCGAATTTTACATAACGCGATTGAGTGAACAGAACTACGTCAAACAAGTGGGAGTAAGCGGTTGTGCGACTGCCTCGGCGTAGCATCGCACACGGAAGGATGCTGCTGGATGCTTCTAGATGCTACCCACGTGCCCCAAGTCTTTGTTCAGCCTGCGTACGCATCTCACGTGTTCACCTTGTTGTCGTGGCTGCTTGTCCGTCGCACGAGCAGCAGCACCTCCGTCAGGTTGTCCACGAGGGCGTCCAGCACCTGTGGGGGAACCGCAGCCGCCGAGGTTAACGCGCGCGACCCCCGCGCGACCCCTTCGCGATCCCCTCGTGATCCCCTCGCGACCCCCGCGCGACCCCCTCGCGACCCCCGCGCGACCCCCGCGCGACCCCCGCGCGAGCGCGTTTTGTGATCCGAACGCACGGCGGGCACCTTCCACCTTCTGTATACACGGCAAGTCCCCGCTGTACTAGGTAAGGCCCACTGAGCTATGTAGCGCTATCTCAGAAGTGACCTGGCCGCAAATGATAGCTCAGCGAAGTGGCCTGTCATCGTGTGGACAATTATAGCAGCCAAATACTCTGATCGCGTGTTAAATCTAAATGTGGAGGGAAAAACTGGAGGACCCGGAGAAAAATCCCAGCGACCACGGGGAGAGAGACATGCAAACTCAAAATATACAGGCATCGTCAGGATCAAACCCACGACCTCCTGCATATCAGGCGAGGGAGTTAACATCTCGCCACCGCAATGTGTACGAGAGCGTTTCCCCGAGCGACACACCTGCAAGGACTCGTCCTGTAGCAGTGACAGCAGCTCCTTGTGAATGAGGTGGACTTTGGGGGCCAGAAGCTTCGCCACCTGAAAAATTGAATGGCATCTTAACGACAATTCACGACGATGTACAGTGTGCTTCAAAACAATGCCAACACTTCCGAAAATTTGCAACAATACCACACGAAACGTGCCTCCGGCCTCTGGAGGCCACACCTTGAGAAGATTCCAGGCACGTGTTGACAATGATGGCGAACAAGTGGACTTTTGAAGCTATTAACATACGTTTGTTGTTATCATGTTACAGTGGATTATCCGTTCTTTTTCCATTAAAAACGATAGTCCCACGTAAGTGTTAAAAAAAAATTTAAGCACCCTGTATATTCATTATTGCACCGCCACAGCGGTGGTAATGGTTGGCCATCACTGGACTTGCAATCCAGAGGTCGCCGGCTCGGCTCGTTCTCCCGACGCGGCAGTTTCAACAATGGGGCACGTTTGTAAAATCACCGACCCGCCACCTTTGTCCACCCAGCAGTGCAACCACGGTGAGCCGATCGGTAGGCCGGGGTGAGGTGGGGTAAAGAGTGGGTTCTCCCGCCGCTTCAAACAAGTCTGGCCAGCTTGGAAGAAGAACACGGTCAAGATGCCCTCCCGAGGGCTCCCTCGAGTGTGAGCCGCTTCTTCCAGCAGCAGTGGCGTAAGCAAGCAATTGCAGGGCTGCACCTTTGAATTCCATGTTGCCGTATTCTCCCGATTAAAGCAAAGGTGCATGTGTGCAAGTGTGCGGACAGATTTTGCGCAACTTTACTGACACCGGGGCACACGTTTGTGGTGCATCGAACCTTCCGGAGCTTGTCTCATAACCGCGGAGAATGCGGTAAAAATGCCACTACTTCTCCGGCACGATTTCCCCCGGAAAACGCCGCCCCAAAAACCGTCGCCGCGAGTGACGTTTGCCAAAATGCGCGGCCTGTCTCCTTGCCAACGTCCCCAAATAAGCTTCCTTGGCCCGCGGCTCCCGCTGAGCGGAGGCCTGCCGCGGGGCCCCGGCCTCTGAGTGCACGCGTGCTCATGAGACGGATGCACTGGCCTCCAGGAGGCTGCTGGCCACGGTCGCCCGCACCCCGGCGTCGCGGTCGTGGCACATGGCGGCGAAGGCGGCACGCAGCCGGCTCGAAAAGTTCTCCGGCTGGGCAAACTGCACCATGGCCTGCACACACACACACAAAGATCCCGCCCCGCCCCGCCCCGCTGTGTAACCTTGAACAGGGTGTTGGGGCGGCTGCTCTTCGCGAGCGGCACCTTTGAAGTCCGGGCACGGCACGGCACACGAGGGGGTGGGTGGCCAGCGCCATGGCCCGGCCGCCTTTGTCTCCCCCCAGTGCTGATGTATAACACACCCTGTCCTGTACTCATTTAAGGCTGAGTCGACCTACAGGAGGCCCAGGACCGGTGGGAATATTCGCCTCTGTTAATGGTCACGAAACGGAAATGTAACTCGGGTTGCCAGGTTCGTAGCGCTGTGCGCTGACTTATACGTATGCAAATGAACATTTCATCTCGTTTCGTGAAATCGGTGTTCCGTTATGAGACAATTCATTAATTCGGAACTCTTGTAGAACCGTGCAACCTTCTTCGTGGGACAGCGGTCGACAGAAGCGACTATCTCAGCGCTCCCTCTGGAATCTCTTAAAGTCACCTCTGATCCACACTCTAAGGGATGGATATGAGACAGATATGAGATGGCTATGAGATGGAAACATAAAAATGATAGAGAGACACAGACAATGACATAGAGATGGCGACAATGACATAGAGATGGCGAAAATGACATACAGATGCAGACACTAAAAGAGACAATCTAGGTAGGTTACATGGGGGGATCTTTGACTTTGTCTTTGATCGCTTGTATGGGTGCTTAGGTGCGTGGGTGCGTAGGTGCATGTATGGGTGTGCAGGTGCATGCGTGGGTACGTGCGTGTACACGCGTGGTTGCACGCGTGTGTGCGTACGTACGGGCAGGTTGTACGCGCAGTGTCTACGGCACTCCGCTTGTCGCGCCGATCGCTCGCCGCTGGCACCCGGCGCCAGCTGCTGCTGCTGCTGCGCCACCCCCACGTGGACGTCGGCATCGCGACGTGGCCCCTCCATGCCGGGGCCGCCACTGTGGCCGTTGCCGTTCTCCACGGCGGCGCCGGCGCGGCTCAGCCGGCAGTAGTGCTCCAGCAACGACCAGCGCTGCTCCTCGCTCAGTGTGGCTGCATTGGTGGCGGAGGTTGGGGGGGCGGGGGGGAGCCAGAGGGCAGATGGGGGGCAGGGAGAGGATCTACGACCGGTCTCCTGACGATCGCGAGCTCAGATCGCGGGAGATGGCCCGTCGCTCTTTCGACGCGTCGCCCTGCTTGACGGTGCGATCAGATCAAACTCATTTGCGGGAAGAATGCTCTCCGATGATGATGATGATGAGGACGATGTTGTGATGACCGTGATGATGGTGCCAATGATTATGGTGATTTTCGTGAGTGACAATAACGATGATGGTGATGATGACTATTATAATGGTGGTGATGGTGATCGTGATGATCACAATAACAATGCTGAATATGCTGCTGATGATGATGTTGTTACCGGAGAGGCTGTGGCAAAGGCGGCCGAAGTTGAGGGCGAGGCTGGGCATGGAGTTTTCGTCTCCGGCGAGCGCCCGCTCACAAAACCCCTCGACCAGTGGCACCACCGTGTGCCGACATGTCGCTATGTCACCCACACATCATCATCAACATCATCAACATCATCATCAATATTATCAACATCATCATGGTTACCACTGTGTGCCGGCACGGCGCTACGTCACCCACACGTCATCATAAACATCATCATCAACATTGTCAACACCACCGTCAACATCATCAACATTACCATGGTCCCCATCGTATGCCGGCACGTTGCTATGTCACCCACACATCAACATCATCGTCAACATCATCAACATCATCATCAACATCGTCACCACCCGAACATCACAACAACATCATCGTCATCAATGTCAAAACATCATCATCATTATCATGGGAGGGGTGGGTCCAGGTGGAGTGAAGGGGGGAGGCGGAGTGGTGGAGCGAGAATGAGGGGTCTAGTGGTTTTGGAGGTCCGGGTTGATTGGGAAATGGGTGCAGGGTGGTGCAGAGGGTGGGGGGTGGGGGGGTTCAGGGGCAGGCGCTGCACCCACCGGAGTCCAGCATGGCAATGGCGTTGGTGAGCGTCTCCAGCGCCGCCGTGCGTACCCCCCCCTCCTCGTCCGCCGCCAGCTCCAGCAGCTCCGGCAGCACCGCCACACGCGTCTGCTCCAGCCTGGTGTCGTCGCACCCGCGGTTACGCGTGTCGCATCTATGTATGTACGCTGAACTTCTTTCACACCGTACGTAGCCAGCCGTGCAAGTAAGAGGTGCGGAGAAAGGACAACAAACTAAACACAAAAAAGCGCGCGCGCGCGTGTACGAGACCCGTGCACGCGCGCGTACCCCAGGCCACGGGCGACGCTTTCCAGCTGGCGACACATGGTGGCGCGCACCTCCAGCTCCACGTCCTGACACAGCGCCCGCACCAGCGGCAGCACCTCCTTGCCGATCCTGCACCGCGTCCATCACCGGACGGGGGGAGGCGGGGGGGGGGGGGGGGTTAAACGGGCCCATCCGGGCGGCTCTCACGGTGATGGCGATGATGTTGCGAACCGTAGACAAAACAAAAAAATTACCACCGCATGTGTGTGTGTACATTGAACTACTTTCGCGCCGTACGTAGCCAACCGTGCAAGTCAGAGGTGCGTGGGGAGGACAACAAACTAAGCACGAAAAGCAGTTCTAAAGAAACTAGATTTCAATCTAGATGACGATTTAACGGTGCATATCTCCAGTGGCTTCCTAATATTGGAAGGAAGAGCGTTCCAGAGGGCCGCAGAAGTGCATCCGAACGCGGGCGATGCGGTGACCAGCGTCTTTGTTCGATGGCCAGCCAAAAAGCCCTTGGAAGGCCAAGTAGACAACAACAATAACAACAACAACAATAGCGGACGACGTTTCGGGGGTGACCACGACCCTTCCCCTAGCACGTGAACGGTGAGGCCCAAAACCAAACGGGTTGCCGCGACGACGGCTGCGGTCTGCGCTGCCGCTCACGTGTAGGCGTCGAACTTGGTGGCGATCTTGCCGAGGATCTTGCAGCAGACAATCCGCGACGGCACGGCCTGCGACAGCTGCCCCTTGGCGGTGGCGATGCCCAGCACCTTGAGGGAGATCGGCCCAGAGCAGTCGTGGGGTTAAAATCGAGTTCACCGTGGCAGAGGCGAAGGCAACAACGGACGTCCGTTCTCTATCCGCTGCTCTGCGAGGGCCTTCGCTTGTCGAAAGCGTCGAGCTTTCACCTTAGCCCTGATTGGGTTTTTGATTCGTTGTCGTCACGATCATCATCATGGTCATCGGCCAATGGTCTATCCACTGCTGTGTGAAAGCCCTCCCCATCATCTCCCTTCTTTGCTCTGATTTGTACTTCTCATTACATCATTAACATCGTTGTCATTATTATCAGCGTGATAAATTTTATGATCATTACCATCATCATCATCAGCCATGGTCTATCCACTGCTGAGTGAAGGCCTCTCCTTGTTTAAATTGTCATCTGTCTGCTTTGTGCTGATTTAATGTATTATTATTATCATCATCATCATCATTATTTGTCGGGTATTTATTGGCTGACCAGGCTCAACTATATAAGCCGTGCATATACGTGAGTTGCATAACGCTCTCCAGTGTGTATTTGTCCTCGACGGCATTTTTTTATTAATCCTTTCCCGTTCTGAGACGTCTACAAGTTGCAGGGTGGGTGGTGTCCCGTTCTGAGACGTCTGCAAGTTGCAGGGTGGGTAGGTGTCCCGTTCACCTCTGAATCTCGGAACGCGCAGGCGGCTCAGCCTTAATATTATTTAGAAAGGCGTAGCGCGATTGTTTTGAAAGACATTGCACTCACCGCAGAGAACCGGAGCGACACGACCGCACTCTATGATAGCTGGCGCCATAATGTGCCACACGCCCTCCAGCATGGACTTGTGGGAGCCTCGGTATCGATGAAGTTATTTTATTTTAGTTTTTTCTTCCGGTTTAGCTCTGACGATGTACACGTACGTCATCGGAACTGAATCGTAAGAGAAACTGATGACGTACACATACGTCATCGTACGTCATAGGAAACGGAAAAGGGTTAATTATCATGGTAGCGCTAGTGGCAGGCACGCAGGGAGCCATACATAGGCCCCGATGAAACCACAGCGCTCGGATAGTAGCTCTGCCCAGGAAGGCACACCTCTACCGGCAGGCCGGGGATGCCGCGGTGGATCCTTTTAGCTCCGGTTCCAGTTCTGGACACCCCTTTTGATAAATGTATCCAGATTCCAATAGGGGTAAAGTCTCATTATTGGATCCCATTTACGAGTTATTTTGCCCCCCCTGTTGCAGATGGCCGGATGGACGGACAGATAAGAGCCGACGCGTAACCCCGCTTTCAGCCTCGCGTTAAAAATAACACCCAACGTCACTTCTTGAAATTCACCTCTCTTTTCACGAGGTCCTTGGGCATGATCTCGATGGCCGAGAGCAGCGTCTGTAGCCAGGCGTTGGCAACCGCTGCCGGGAAAAAACGCACAGGCGCCGACGGAACCGGCTCCACGTCATTCACACAGCATCGCGGCCAAACCACACCGGACGTGTAGCATCATACGCCAGGCTCCTTCCACTGCTGGATGAAGGCCTGCCCCCATGTTAACAAGCAATTCAAGAAAACGCCGTCCAGCTGTAATCCGGTCTGTCGCCTGAAGACGGCATCAGAGACCGATCTGTCAGTAAACCGTAAATATGATTTGACAAACTGGTCTTAACGACCCCATCAAAGGCAAGTATGTCAGTCTGTTGTCTACAGGGACCATTAACTCACTACACTCATGAAGCCGGTTCAATCACAGTCAAGCGATGGAGCCCCGATTCTCAATTCCGGACCTGAGCGGTGCCAGCTCAACACTTCTGACGTGACCATTATGAACCCCCCTCCAAGCCCCCTTGCTCGTCTCATCCCGGGCCAGGATTAGTACTTCCCATCACCCTCGTGCAATCCTGCCACTCTACCCACAGACCGACGTCCTGGCCAGGGCTGTAGCTGGACATTTTGGCTGGGGGGCGAGGTGCCATGCGCGAATGTATGTGTGCATGCAGAACTTATTTCGCACCGTACGTAGCCAAACATGCTAATCGGAGGTGCGGGGCGGGAAGGACAATAAACTAAACACAAAAATTATGTTGGTCCACGTTAGTTCATGTTGAACCATGTTCGTCGGTCCATGTTGGACCATGCACGTACGTTGAACTTCTTTCACACCGTACGTAGCCAACCGTGCTAATCAGAAGTGTGGAGGGAAGGACAACAAACTAAACACAAAATTCCCCTGCTCCCCCGTCCACCCCCCCGCCCGTGCTGCTGCTGCTGCTGCTGCACCGTCATCGCCGCCTCCACCACACGCTGGAGCCACCGACCGGGCCTCTTCGTTCCCCAACAATTTGGCGGCACACCAAGGACGGCGCTGCCCTCGGGAGGGCTGGCTCGTAAATGTCCACGTGATGACAAGCCATTTCGTCGGGTGTATCATTCGTGGGGCCAGGCCGCTTCCGAAAAAGACAAGCTGTCCCGCTCTTTTGGCGTTCCCTGGTCTGACACCGGTGGTGAGACGAGACCAAAAAGAAGGCTACTGTCTCTGGTGGAGGCCAATCGGTTTCACGGACAATGCGTAAATATTATCAGTCACGGACAATGCGTAAATATTATCAGAGCACGTTTGTTTGCATGTTTTGCCACAAGTACTGTGTGTGGCTCATGCAGACTTGATGCCTTGCAAAAAGTATCCGTGTTTGAACATCTTAAGACCTCTTCTTGGTTCTTTCGGTAAAGTCACGTAGAAGGGAAATAATAAAATAATGAAAATAAAACAACATAAAATAAAATTCTCACGACGTTCCGGCCACAACACAAGCAGCCGTCCTCAGGTGAAGAAACAGAGCTGTCGGAAAGACAGCGCTCCAATTCATTCATTGGAGCGCTGTCTTTCCGACAGCTCTGTTTCTTCACAACAGGGCCCCTTAATAAATTATGCTACAGGCCCCGCACTAGCTTAATGGGCGCCGCCGTTGACGCCGTCCAGGCCCCTGGTGCCGGCTGCCTACCGGGGTCCCGGTGCTCCACGTTCATGAGCACGGCGGGGAGGAAGCCCTGCGCGAACACGGCCGGCGTGACGAGGCCCCCGCGCAGCGACGCCAGGAACGACTCCGCCGAGGCCAGCTGCGTCTCGGGGCCAGCAACGTGCAGCACCTCCTGTGTGTGCGTACGCGCGTGCGTGGGGGAGCGGTGGTGGAGCGGTTAGCGCGCTGCGCGACGAACCCCGGCGACCCGAGTTCGATTCCCGCTCACGGCCAACGCCAGTGACGATTACCTGAACAGGTCCTGGGCCTCCCCTAGGTCGACTCAGCCTCAAAGAGTACCTGGTGCGGTGTGTAAAAAACATCGCCACTTGGGAGACAAAGGTGACCGGGCGTGGTGTTGGCCACCCACCCCCACGTGTGCCGTGCCGGCCTTCATAGGCGCTACTTGCTAACAGCACTTGCCCCAACAGTCTTTAAAGGCTATACGGGGGGATCTTTGTCAAACCCGGCGACCATCATCAGTGATGGATATCTGAACCAGCTCTGTGCGCTCCCCTAGGTCGACTCAGGCTTAAATGACTACCAGGTTTGGTGTGCAAATATCGGCATTGGGGAGACAAAGGTGGTCGGGCGTCGTGTTGTGGGTCGTACCGCTATGAGTCACTGCTCCAAAAGTCTGCATGACTACATAGGGGTTCTTTGCCTGCCGTGGTGTAATGGTTAGCACACAGGTAAAACATTGGCATGCTTTAGAAACTCCCCTGTTCACCCCCCCCCGCCCCGATCGCCCCTCTGCCTTCCCCGAGATGTACACGGGTACACACCATAGCCCTGTCATTGCTTGCCCATGCAACGACTAGCGTGAGCTCTAGGGAGCCCCTCTAGAGGGGGGTGCTTGGCCTACTCTTCCACGTTGGCCAGATGTTATTGGAAGAGGTGGGAGCACCCACACGCAGTGGGGTACAAAGCCAGATCAAAGCAGATGCAGGCCAGGCGGCTTGGGCAACACGAAGCCTGGAAGCGACAAAATGCGACACCACAGGTTCGGTCAAACCCTCGCCGCATGGCTCGCCTGATCGTGTCATGCCAGGCGAGATTTTATCTCCCTCGCCTGGAATGCAGGAAAAGTCGTGGGTTCGATCCCGACCCTGACGCCTGCTGCATGCTTGGAGTTTGCGTGTCTCTCTCTGGATTTTTCTCCGGGTCCTCCGGTTTTTCCCGACACATTTAGAATCAGCGTCACGCGTTTTAGAGCATTTTGCTGCTATCAATTTCCACACGAGAAGCCACTTCGTTGACCTATCACTTGTGATAGCCAGGTCGCTGTAATCTAGGCCTTACCTGGTAAAATACAAAAATTTGTTTAAATTGTTTTTTTAGTGTCGTCCCCCTGCCCCCTCCCCTCCTCTCCCTTCGTGGTGTTGTTGCTCTCCCGTCCGTGCCTTGGCCCACGCCGGACGCGGCCGGGAGGAGAGACACTCACGCGGACTTTGGGGAGGACTCGGCGGAGCGCTTCGGCCGGACTCCGCTGCAGCAGCTCGGGGAGGCTGCACGCGACGCTGATCCACTGCACGTCCTGGCCCGAGCTGAGCAGGGGGAGGGGTGGGGGGCGCACGGGGACACATGGGGGGGGGGGGGCGCGGGGGGTGGTGGGGGAGGCGTGGGGGAGGATATTTACGGTCTCGGGTCAGGTCCTGATTTGCTCGAGTGGTCACTTACCTACCGGTACGCTCAATAACCTGCCCGCTCACTCACCTCGCAATTCACTTATCGGGTCCACCCGCTCACTCATTCACCCACACAGCCACCCCCTTCACTCATCCTCTCCCTTTCCCAATCATATACCACTCACTCACATTCCGCCCGTCCGCCCACTTGTGAGTTGAATTTTAATGTGCAATTTTATTGAGGGACTGTGTGTTGCCTTGGTGTAGTCTGAGACTGTTTTTGCAGTTGTTATGCTGCTGCCTTGCCCAAAATTGCATTTGGTGTTGGAAAATCGGCAGGCATCCATGCACTTATGCAGTTTGTACTTATATATTTTATTTTTATTTCATCACTTTCTTAGCTTTTCTATACTTTGCACGGCTACCGTGTTTGTTGTATTGTTTGTTGTTGTTCTGACCCACCTCTAATGGACATCTGTGATAAAAGAGCTTTACAGCTCATCGGATTATTCTAGTCTACATAAAGATTCTGATTCTGTTGTTTTTCCTCACGCATCATACAAATGCACTCAAGCTGCCTACGTTCATTTTTGTCTCCATCACCTTTGCAGAGCGTCTGTCCCTCTCACCTGTTCAAATAAATCCCGGCAATGCTGAGCGAATACATCTCGGCGAAAAAAAAAAGATTCTGGCACACAATGCCTCGGGGCCTGGCAAACAGCGACGCCCGGGGAAGTGGCGCCGACTTCTCAAACACCGGGCCCCGAGCCCCGAGCCGTTGCCGTCTTTCCTCGTTTGGCAATCTTTTTTTTTGCTCCATTCAAATGCAAATAAAGCCGTTGCACACTGCTCCGCTCGCGAGGCCCCCCCCCCGCCCCCGTGTTAGGAATTGGAGGGAGCCCTCTTAAACCTCCCCACTCGGTGGCCAAAGTGATTTCCGGCTCACGCGCATGTATCTATGTATATTGAACTTCTTTCATACCGTGCGTAGCCAAACCGTGCTAATTAGAGGTGCGAATCCGTTTACGCCGGTCGTGAGAAATTCCGCAATTCGGTGGCTGGGGCGAGTCATGGGGCAATCGCCGTTGACTTGGTGCGTCACGGTGGCAAGACGTTAACTCCCTCGCCTGAGTATACGGGGAGGTCGTGGGTTCATGGGTTCGATGCCGACTCTGACGCGTGCTGTAAATTTGGAACTTGTGGGGTCTCTCTCCCCGTGGTTGCGTGGATTTTTTTCTCCGGGTCCTCCGGTTTTTCCCTCCAAAATTTGCAATCAACATCACGCGTTCAAAGTTTTAGAGCGTTTGGCTGCTGTAAAAAAAAAAATTCCACGTGATAATCCTTACCTGTTAAAATAAAAAAATAGTCGAGACTATTTTGTGCTCATTGTATCGACGACCACGACGGAGGGCACGATGAGCCGAGTAAACCCCCCCCACCCGGCCACCCGCCCCAAACCAGGATGCCAACTCGCAATCCTCACGCCCGCCGTGCCGCCGATGGCGTGCGCCCCACAAGCCCTCGCCGCGTTCGTGGCGCGCGCCCACGGCGAGTGGCGGCGCCTCCGTGATTTCCGCTCGCTCCGCTCGGTAACCCGCTGTCCGCTCCCGCTCCACGGCGGCGGTGGAGACGCTCGGCTGCGCGCGGCGCGTCGTTGCGACAGCTTCTTGACATTTCGATGAGAGGCGACGTAACGCGCGGAGACTATTTAATAAAAAAAACGAACAACAACATTCCGTGACGGACGGGATGGGGGCTGGCTGATGTTCCTCCGCGATAAATGAAGGAAGCGCAAATGAAAAAAACTTCACCTTCTTGGCACTTGTCCAATATTTATATTAAATTACAACCCTCCCCCCCCCACCCTGCAAAAAAAAGCCAAGGGCTACGTCGATCACGGGCCAGCGTTTATTTCGTCAAGTCAAGCGTGGCGGAAGAGGCGGCTTTCACGGCCAAGTGTTAAGAATCTCGAGGTCGCACCGACCTTGAGTCATCGAAGTTCAGGAAAGCGTCGTTATCAATGCATTCTCTGGATGCGCAGCGGATTACCCGGCTGTTGGTGGTAGTGGTGGTGGCGAAGGTCAGTGCGATTCAAAACACCGCTGACCACATTGAGTCGAGTGACATTTAATTCGTAAATCCGTTAAATTCGCGTGTTCGCACCTGTAAACATCGACTCGGATCGTGAACTTGAGATCGCCAGGGCAGAGCAAATCGATTAATCGATCAATATCAATTCTTCGGCTCACAATAAATCATGTGCATTAGAATAAATGTGTATATACGTTATACTGTGATGGGTGTCCTTACGTGAAATCCCTCCAGTAGTTCAGGGGTCAGAGACACTGAGCCGGCACCGCTGAGATCCTGGGTTTGTGATTAAACCGGGTTCTCAAGTGTAGCGCGTTCCTGGACCAACGTGTGAATCGAGGCTTTGAGAATTCACCTTAAAGGCTCGGCAAAAAGCTCCTCAGCGGTGTACGAATGCATTTTGACTCGCAGACTAAGTCGAGTTTTTCGAGGCAAGTGCGGTCATCATCATCATCATCTCCGGCTGACCTTGGTGTTTGCCCCCTTTGAGGTTCAGAGTGAATCACTGCGAGGCGATCGCGCATTCACCAGAAGCGATGACAATTGTTGGTAATAAACGAGGAAATTAGTCATCGTTGATAATAGATGATGACATCTTGATCTCGAGCCATCTCGTTGCCGTAAACGCCGGGATCGGAGGTGAAGGAGGACGCGTGCAGTGGCTTGCCCGGAGCTCGTAAACACCGTCGTAAAATCATTGCCCCTGCTCTTTCAATCCAGCGGTAAAACAACCTCCTGAACCGGGGCGAGAGGGCGGTAGCTCTGTAGCGGGTGCGTTGTTTAAACGGGGAGGTGGATGGGGGGCCCATAAAAAAACTCAGCGAGGGGGGGGGGCACCGCACAGATCAACGTGAACCAAACTTTGCAACGAACGTGAAACCGCTCAACGGAATGAGCGACGACACGACCTGCTTGTTGCCTGTCGTGCATTTCACCCACCACCTCCGATGATTAGCACGGTTGGCTACATATGGCGCGAAAGAAGTTCAACTTCCAAACATGCAAATTACTGTTACATCATATTTTGACCGGACTACTTGACAATGAGAATTTAGAAGGGGGGGGGGCTAAACTTTTTGCTGGGAATGGGGGTGGGGGCTCAACCCCCTCCAGCCACCCATGCGCCCTATGCTACCGGGCTGAGGTGTGGAGTCTTGGAGATTCGGGAGAATGCAATGGCGGGGCAGGTGGGGCAACTGGAAGCCTCCTCAAATTGTGGGGACCGCTCAGCTGTGGTGGTGGAAGCGTTGCGAGTGGTCAGGTCCCATCTCTACATGTACTGTATGTACAGGTCCGCTCGAGCCTCCCGTACATCACGTGACTTGTGTGTGGCGGCAAGCCCAGCACTCTGAACCCCCCTCCACGTCACCGCCCGCTGTGAAAACAGACGCCGCTCCTCCTCCGTGCAGCAGCAGCGGCGGCGGCGGTGACGTCGAGTCCCTGATGCAGCCTCCTCCCTCTCCTCGTCTCTTCCGACCGCTTTGGTCGCGTTTTTTCCCATTCTTTCCCCATCCTCTTCCTCTTTCGTTCCCCATCTTTCCCTTCTCTCCGCCATTTCCTCACCCCGTTTATCTTCACATGACCTCCGATTAGCACGGTTGGCTACGTACGGTGCGAAAGAAGTTCAACACACATGCATACATACCTACCTACATTATAACCGCGACTCTACCCCCCTGCTCGTGGTGGAGCCACGGGTTAAACAAAGTTGCTCGTGCAGTAGAGCGACGCGTCGTCCGATGCGTTGCTATCGGACGACGCGAAATCGATAATTACCGATCGCTGCATGCGTGCGTCAAAACACCATTGCTGTACAGGACTTCACGCGTGGAAAAGTGCAAGAGTAGCCCTGTGAGCCATTCGGCTCTTGAATCGGGTGCAACCACAACAAACAAAAAAACCAAAAACACAAACAAGAAAAACATCGCCGACCGCTGCCCACTGCAGGCATCAAGCAACTCCTGACGTATGCGTGCGTGTTGAATTTCTTTCGCGCCGTACGTAGCCAACCGTGCTAATCGGAGGTGTGGGGTGTAAGGACAACAAACTAAACACAAAAAGCAGTTCTAAAGAAATTCGTTTTCAATGTAGATTTAAAAGTGCATAGCTCCCAGTGGCTTCCTAACACTGGAAGGAAGTGCGTCCCACACTTGTACAGCTCTCTCTGTCATCGGATGCATCGTCGGACTCAGCCAGACGGTTGCAATGTTTTTGCCAGTTGCTTTTCACAAATGCCAACGCGAAATAATGAAGACGAAAGTTGGGCTGTACTGCCATGCTGCCGCGTTCATGCTCCCTGCCGTCACCAACCCGCGCTGGCAATCGCCGGTGGAGTACGCTCGAATAAACCCCGGCGACTCGCGCGGCGTTGGGGAGCCTCTCATCCAGCAGTGGATTGACAGAGAGAGCTGTACAAGTACATGGTGGTGGTATACACGGTGGATGGTGTCAGCTTGTGGATAGTACACGTGGCACCCCCCCCCCCTTGCCCACCGCCGCACCCTCCCACGCCCGCTCCCCTCCTATTATGCTTTGGGGGTGTTTTTTTCTGCAAAGGGGACAGGACAACTTCACCGCATCAAAGGGACGATGGACGGGGCCATGTACCGTCAAATCTTGGGTGAGAACCTCCTTCCCTCAGCCAGGGCATTGAAAATGGGTCGTGGATGGGTATTCCAGCATGACAATGACCCAAAACACACGGCCAAGGCAACAAAGGAGTGCCTCAAGAAGAAGCACATTAAGGTCCTGGAGTGGCCTAGCCAGCCTCCAGACCTTAATTCAATAGAAAATTTGTGGAGGGAGCTGAAGGTTCGAGTTGCCAAACG